TAGAAAGGCAGAACCTCTAAATAAGGCTTAGGGAGGAGCTTGGAGTAGGAAGAGATAATGCAGGAATTTTAAATGTCCTGAGGGCCATTAGAATGATACAATTTGCATTTTAAAAGATAACTGAGTAGAGAACAGATATCAAGGGAGCTGGAATGAATACAGAAATGGTACCATTTAGACCCTAGAAGACTGATCTAAGCAGAAGTGACAAGGTTTGGTGATGGTACAAAAGCAAGGACTGAGAAAAAAAAAAAAGCGAGTAAGCCATGAGGTGTCTGGAATAACTCTCAGGTTTCCCAAGTTACTGCTAAAATGTGGGGGGAAGGATGAAAAACTCAGAGAAGCAGAACTGAGAGAAAAGATCACTGATCACAGTTCGGCCTGTTATCGTTAACAAGTAGAGATGCCAAATTAATAACTAAAACTGGACAGAAATATAAAAAAATGAAGTCATCACCAAAAGGGATTTGAGCATACATTATTCTGCTCCTTATTTTCCCACAGTAACTTATAATACAAACTAGAAGAATCTAGAATGTATTTTAAAGACTCACAGAAATAGACTCAAAGCCTTAGAAAACAAACTTATAAAGGTGAAAAGCGGAGGCGGGGGTGGAATTAAGAGGTTAGGATTAACATAGTGGAGTTCTGTAACCTCATTTATAGACTTAAACAATTACACCACTATGACTGGTATGGGACTGAAGAAAGACTAACTTAAAGGGACAACTGAGCTGCGCTATCTGAAGGATAAGATGCAGTTAAGAAGACAAAGAACACAGGCTGTTACAGGAGCAGCAGAAGCAGAGGGAACATGAGCCCCAACCAGCCAAGGAACTGTGGAGAGGGAGGAGACCGGCTGGGCAAAGCCTGCGGAGAGCTGAGAGAACGTGATCCTTGGGGAAAGAACATGGGAGGCCACTGAAAGAGGAGCAAAGCAGACTTCTCAGAGTGACTGTCACAATCACTCAGGCAGGGAAAGGATTAGGCCCTGCAAGTGTGGACTTGGAGGACCGGCATCTTCTCCCAACGGGTATAAGGGATAGGGGCACAGGGGAAACCTGGGAGAGGCGGGTGAAGCTGCAGGGAGAAAAAGATAATAATCCAGTATTTTAAATTTATCCTTTAGGCTCCAAGAAAAAAAAAAAAGCGAGTAAGCCATGAGGTGTCTGGAATAACTCTCAGGTTTCCCAAGTTACTGCTAAAATGTGGGGGGAAGGATGAAAAACTCAGAGAAGCAGAACTGAGAGAAAAGATCACTGATCACAGTTCGGCCTGTTATCGTTAACAAGTAGAGATGCCAAATTAATAACTAAAACTGGACAGAAATATAAAAAAATGAAGTCATCACCAAAAGGGATTTGAGCATACATTATTCTGCTCCTTATTTTCCCACAGTAACTTATAATACAAACTAGAAGAATCTAGAATGTATTTTAAAGACTCACAGAAATAGACTCAAAGCCTTAGAAAACAAACTTATAAAGGTGAAAAGCGGAGGCGGGGGTGGAATTAAGAGGTTAGGATTAACATAGTGGAGTTCTGTAACCTCATTTATAGACTTAAACAATTACACCACTATGACTGGTATGGGATTGAAGAAAGACTAACTTAAAGGGACAACTGAGCTGCGCTATCTGAAGGATAAGATGCAGTTAAGAAGACAAAGAACACAGGCTGTTACAGGAGCAGCAGAAGCAGAGGGAACATGAGCCCCAACCAGCCAAGGAACTGTGGAGAGGGAGGAGACCGGCTGGGCAAAGCCTGCGGAGAGCTGAGAGAACGTGATCCTTGGGGAAAGAACATGGGAGGCCACTGAAAGAGGAGCAAAGCAGACTTCTCAGAGTGACTGTCACAATCACTCAGGCAGGGAAAGGATTAGGCCCTGCAAGTGTGGACTTGGAGGACCGGCATCTTCTCCCAACGGGTATAAGGGATAGGGGCACAGGGGAAACCTGGGAGAGGCGGGTGAAGCTGCAGGGAGAAAAAGATAATAATCCAGTATTTTAAATTTATCCTTTAGGCTCCATAAAACCTTCTGGATTGTTAAAGATAAAGAAAACACAGTGACTTTAACTATGTCACAGCTCCCAAGAAACTCACATAGAAATGAAAAAGGGTTGGGTCTATAGAAAAGAAAAGAGATGAAGGTAGGGAGAGAAGCATTAAATATTCATATTACCAAAAAAAGAAAATACAAACTTTAAAAGATTGAAAGCCCTGCATCAGACACTGAGTTTAAAGAGCATGGAATATACATATTTTATCATATCTCTAATAAACATACAATAAATACATCAGTATCAAGGAAATAATCATTATGACTATTACATGCAAAAAAACCACTGGGCTAACAGAAAGGGACGATCTTAATGACAAGAAAAACATAGCACTAAACCCAGGACAATGCCACACACAGAGAATCCTGCCTCTAAGAAGTGGTCTTTCCTTGGTAGAACAGGAAAGAGTCAAAATAGGACCCTCAAAGCCTTAGAGAAAGCATCTCTCAATACTACTATCCCTACTTGCTCATTCACTCATTCAAGAGAAAATGTTTAGTCCAGCAATTCCACTACTAGCTATATACCCAAGAGTAAAATAACAAAAAATTTTTTTAAATGCATACATACAAAAAACAGTTTGTGGATGTTCACAGCATTATTTATAACAGACAAAACATAGAAACAATCTAAATGTCCATCAACCAATGAAAAGAAAAAATGTGACATATCCATACAATGGAATATTAGCCATAAAAATGAATAAAGTATTGAAACATGCTGTAACATGGATGAACTTTGAAAATATTAGGCTAAGTGAAAAACATCTAGCTACAAAAGACCAAGTGCTATATGCTAACATTTATATGTAAAGTCCAGAATAGGCAAGTCATTGAGACACAAGGCAGAAAAGTCACTGCCTAGGGGCTGGGGCGGAGGCTGGATTTGGAAGAAATGGACAGTAACTGCTAATTGGAAATGGATTCTGAGGTGATTAAAAAAAAAAGGGTCTAAAATGGATTGTGCTCATAGTTGCTCAATTCTATGCATATACTAAAAACCAAGGGGAAAAAATCCACTTTTAAATAGGTGTATTTCATAGTATGTGAATTATATCTCAATAAAGCTTGTATTAAGAAAGAGGGTATCTGGAGCACCAGGGGCACTATGGCAAACTGCTGGAAACAGAACAAAGAAAATACATTCGATCACACGCAAAACCTGTGCTCAGACTATCACTTTCTACTAGAGTAGAAAAGTCAGTCAACAAGCAGTTAGAAAGCAATGAGAAAAGCAAAGAATTCAGACTGTGCCCCAGGGACATTTAACCTACTCCGGGTGATTAAGATGTCTAGAAGAGAACTCAATACACCAGATTTTCGTCCTTGAATGAAAATTTTAACTCTAAGAAATTTTAAAATTAAGTACCTGTTCCCAGTCTCTTAAAATCTGCATTCTCACAGAATGTTACTGACATCACTGGAATGTACTTCTTGTAAGCATCTGTGTACGTGCAATGTTTAAAATATGTTTTTAACTTTACAAAAGCAACAGATTATAGTCCGTTAATAAAATGAAACTCTATTTAAATTGTACTGTCAACTTCGTAAGGGTGTTCTAATGTGCAAACTTATCATAGCACCTTAAATTGGAAGAAAGAGGGCCTTAAAAACCCTTATTACCGTGAAATACATTCCAAAACAAAGCCGGGGGCGGGGGGTTGGGAGAGGACTGGCAAGGTGGGAGAACTTGACTAAAGATCAAAAAGAACTGAGTGCTACAAAGTAAAAATGGACCTTTAAGATTTAAAGCCACTAATTTTCAACCACGACATTTTGAAAGTAGACTATTTGTAACTGTTGCCAAAGAAACAGTGAAGCTGAGTTTCCTGAGATTTAACAACAACAAAAAAAAATACTGCAAATTCAAGTGGGTGAAATGGAGCAAAGTTTGGTCTGAACGTAGGTGAACCAACCCTACAAAGAAACTTCCAAGAGGATAAGGGTGGAACGACTGCAACTTTTAACCTATACTTCCGAAGCAGCAGTTGATAAACATCCCGCAGGGTAATTTGCCAACTGCTTTAAAAAAAAAAAAAATGTTTGTCCCCTCTTCTCTAGGTGGGAAGAACCAGACAAAAAACCTCCCAGGCATCGCCCACAACCAAAGCCAGACCGTGCAGACGTGCGTGGTTGCAGTTCAAGGGAAGACTGGCTCCGAGTTCACCCGGAAAGCATCCGAATCGAGCCCCGCTGGTTTCATTGGCTGAGCCCAGAGGAAAACCCCAAGCTCGAGCCGGGAGCCCCAGCCTACCTGGCTCCTTTCTTCACATTCCCATCCCGCGCCACGTGCCATGCCTAGCATTCCACGCGACCCGATCCGACTTATATTTATTAAGCACCCACTGTCTACACCGCATCACGGCAAGAAGCACTGCAGGAAGAAATGGCCCCACTCCGGAAAAACCAAAAGGAAAGCCACAGGGGCTAAGGACGAACCCAGGAGAGGGGTTAGCTGCCTGCGGAGAGGTAGTCTGGAGAGGAGCCCTCACCCTCACGTCGCGGGTCGAGGTAGTCCCAGGGAAGAAATGGCCCCGAGGGGCGCGTCAGGCCCGGCCTCCCCGGAGTCCGCCTCAGACCGGGCTGGAAGGGAAAAGGTAAGGAGTCGGCATTGCCGAACCACCGCGCGCTCCTCTGCTCCACGGAACGCGACCCCGACTCCGGTCCCCGGGAGAATGGCGAGCGCGGGGACCGAACCCCCGCGAGGGCCGGATTGGGCTGTCACTGGCTCCCGCTTCCCAGCCCTGCGACCATGGCCGGCCACTCTCTCTCAACGTGACAGCCACGGCGTCCGCGGACCGAGCGTCTCCGGCCCGGCGTCTCCGCTCTGCCAGACGCCGGCACCCCCTGCTGCCCCGCGCGGAACGGGACAGTGCCGGGAAGACCGCCCGGGCCCCTCCCCCCACCGGCCCCATCCCCCGGACTCCGGAAAAGCGGTTACCTGGCGCGCAGGAGGGGGCGAGGACACGACCCCGAGGAGGAAGATGAGAAGAAGAACGGTGGCCTCCGGCCCAGGGAGATTTGGGAAATTTGGAAGACTTGTTCCGCACTGGGTGACAGCTGTTCGCTGCGCACGCGCACCCGGCCACAGTCGCCCGATCACTCCGCCACTCCTCACCCTCCCGTCGAGGGCTGGGAGGCAGCGGCGAAGGCGCGCGCACGGGGCCAGCCGGCTCTCCCTGCGCGAGGGCGCGCGCGTCGTCACGTGACCTCTGGGGCCCGGCACTTGGTGGGTCACGTGAACTTCCAAACAGCTTAAAGGTGCCAAGCACCTTCTTGCTTTGGCTTAATCTTTCGCACAGTTCTTAGGCTAGGCTCGCTCGCCGCCGCGCTTCGTGTTTTCTGGGGAGGGACGTGTCCCCTTTTGCCCAGAAGGGGAAGATACTTGAGCAGAAGGAAGAGACAGGTGCACAGAACCTTGCCTGGGAGCGCCTACCGGGTTCCCGCAGGGTTGGACTTGATGAAGTCCACGCGCCACACGTCGCCCAGGGCTCCGACGCGGGCCTATGGCGGTCCCTGGCGCGCAGACGTCAGAGTGGCGTTGCCATGGGTGGGGCCTCGCAATGCCCAGCGGAGCCTGGCTAGGATGTCTCGGCTTGCTGCTGCAATGACAGTGTTTTATGGCTGAGACTTCTGAGCCTCTAGACCGACATGGGAGGTCCCAAGTGGGCTAAAGGTTGCCAACCCCTTAACAAGTAACTCAAGCAAGTAGCTGGTTATTAGCCGAGAGGAATCAAACTGTCCCGTAATTTAGTCACCTACGCGGAACTAGTCCCGCCCGGCGCAGGTGCGCTCTTGAGTTGAAGAGTCCCCAGGTGGCCCCAATAGGAATTCGAACTGGAGATCACTCAAAAACATGGGATGACAGCAGTATGGCCTGAATTGTAACAGGAAGTTCAAGTGCCTCCGGACCCCTCAGAAAGTAGTTAAACTAGCTTGCTTCAGCTTGTTACTTCTGAGCTATACTTCTGCCTTCCAAGGTGTCCGGAAGAACCACACAGACCTTACTTAATTAAGCCTTTGCACTACCAAAGACCAGGTGTTTTGCAAAGCTGAACAATTTTTTTTTAAACTTCCTGTAGAGACTCCAGCTGTGTCTCTTGTGGCGTTTCCCCTAACGTCTCAGCTAAGATTGGGCAGAACCTTACACTTCTGAGCACACTTGGGCTGTCTTATATGCTGTGTTTTCTACTACAATCCACTGATTTTTGCTTTTTAAAATATCTGAACAGGTGCATTTACCGCACCCTGGAAGTTTTTTTCTCACCCGAAGGAGCACTGCAAAGACAGGTGAAATATGGGTGATTAAGTAAAGCTAATGGGATTATTGGGTCACCACGTTTCTTCAGTCATTAAGTTAGAAACAAGGCTTAGGCTCCATTACTCACCTAGGTACACATCTGAACTTCCCTAACATGTAAACTCAACTGTGATTTCTCCAACTGTGTATACTATGAGAATCACAACCTTCCTTATAAATCAATTGTATATGCGAAAACAATAACAGTCATTTATGGCTTACTGTGAACTTGACATTTGTTTAAAGAACTGCACGTATGTTAACAAAATTAATCTTTATAATCATGCAGTGAGGTATTATCTCCTTGTTACAGATATGAAAACTGAACTGAGATTAAGAAACAGCTACTAAACACCAGGGTCCTTGGAAGCCATATGCTGCATTGGACTAGGAACCTAGTACACCAAAATTAAAAGTCTGGAAACCTGAATTCCAGTCCATTCACAATTTGCAGACAGGCAATATTGCACAAATAACATTTGTTGAACACCGTAAATCAAGTCTGCTATTTTTTAACCTGAAAAATGAGGGTGACATACCAGCTTTGCTAATTTTGAGAATTTTTGAACATTAAAGAAGGTAATGTACAATGTCAAAACACTTCAAAAGCTGTAAAGCATTGTGTGAATGTATTAATATTAAGCACTTTAGTTTTGGAAACTGAATTGAGCCTACTAGAAAATCAACTGGATTCATGTCACAGAAGACAATGTGTCCTTATTATATGGAAATACCTCTATTGTAAATTATAATGAAAATAAAATTTTAGCCATATAGTAGGTTAATATATTTGGGTGAAATTAAAAATGCCAGTTGTAATAAGATGGAGTTTGTATACTGGATACATAAGATTTTCCTTGAAGCTTATGTTATGTAAACTACTGTTCACCTCAGAGACAATACTAGTAAATTTTTAAAATATGTATAATGCAACAAATTGATAGATACACTACTAAATAATATAGTCTAATTTTAAATATATTGTAGTCCATTAGACTTTATTTTTTATAGACTTTTGAAAATATAAAGTATTAAATAACTAATACTCATTAATGTTTCTATTTATCATTATCACATACATGTCTGTTACTTATACAGGTACAATACAAACCAACCAATAACTAGATGTTTAGATGATTTTTTTAAGTGTTACAGTGACTATGATAGTAAGTACCTAATAAAATTAGAAATCCTGGTAGCTGTTCTCTGTGTCCTGTGTTCTGAAGCTCAGATCAATTTTTCTCTTACAAGGATTATTATAGAAGTCTCCTAATGATCTCCCTACTTCCAATGCATTCTCCACCCATCCCGTACCCCTGCCACCCAGCTTCTGTACTGCAAGTCAAAATTATCCTCCTAAAATAAGAACTGAATCATGATTTCACCCAACTGAAACACCTCACTAATTTCCCATCATTATCAAAGCTTTTCAGTATGAGTCGAAATGGCCAAAAAGAATACCGGGACCAAGGACGTGGGGATAGACACTGAAGTGAGTCAAACCTCTGTATAAGCTAAATAGTCAATCAGTTTGGATACCATTATGTCTTAATATAAGAAAGACCTAAAATTACCACTTAAAATATTAATTTTCCTTTTAAAATATTTGAATAAAATTAAAGTTTGGGGGAGATATGTCATTTTTTTCCCAGGACTCCTGTTCTGTGTGTGTTTCTTAAGGTGGGGTACTGGGGGAACAAATGAGGTAGTTTATGTTTTCTCTCACATCAAGGAAAATATTGGAACTTATTTTATGACATCTAATCATAACACAATAAAAAAATTAAATATTCATTTTTCCAAATAAAACTACATACCTAAACCGAAGTTGCAAGCTCAGTACATATAGTCGTTAGTTTCAATCAATCCTTTTTATTATGTATTATTGTTATTACTGCTATTTGTACTGTTTTATGTTATTTGTACAGGCTTTGGATAATGATACAGCTATGAATAGGACAGAAGTGGCCTTCCTCTCATGGAACACACAATAAAGCCAGTGAGATACCAATGTGCATCCACAAAAATGGCTAAAAATAAAAACTGACAAACACTGGTGACTGTGGGGGAACAGAAGCACCAATACATATGCATCAAACACATACACAGAAAATTTTATAGCATTACCTGTGGGGCTTAAGCGGGGACACAAGAATCTATTAGCAGTTAAGTAGAGATATAAATGTCAGTACAGTTCTACAATGGAAAACTATACAGCAATAAAAAATAAATGAATTATTGCTACCCATAACAGAATGGCTAAATCTCACAAATAAAATGGTAAGTGAAAGAAGCCAGACCCAAAAGAATACATGCTGTCTTATTCCATCAGGTATTCTACTTTTAAACATCCATCTAGTTTTAAATGTGTTTCTATAACATTTAAAAGTAGATAAAACTATTCTATGGTGTTAGAAGTCAAAATAATGGTTACCTTTGAGAAGAAATGGGTGGAACAATTGGGGAGGGGAAAGGAACCTCTGGGGTGCTGCTTATGTTGTTTTTTTAGCCTGGATGATAATAATTGTATAATACATCAAGCTGTACACTTATGGTTTGGTTTATGCACTTTATATGTGACATTTATATTTTAAAGATTTTCAGATATTTAGTATGTTAATTTTTATATATTTTTTAAATTTTTGTGTATTTGTTATAGCAATTTTCTTACCCATTTTGACAAATGGACTACCCAGGTTGATTTAACTGGCTAAACAAAGGGTAAAACTTCTGAACCTTTCCCTTCCTATTGAATGAAATTTTTTGCTGATTAGAAAGGGGAAAATGTGAAGGGAAAAACAAATGAAAAGGAGACTGAGCTACTTTTTCCTTTGGTCCTACTGACCCTTAAGAATCTCTGTAACTGAAGGAGTTTTCTCTCTTTTTTTGTTTCCTTTACTTGGGTAGTTTTATCAGGGTTGTCGGTAACTCACTATGAAATGTAATACTCCATTACAATAATTATGTTAGTTTAATTTTTTAAGCTTTCTCAACCATATTATATCTCAGCTCTATATATACTGATATTTCAAACCCTTTTTAGTTGCAAGCAAACAATATACAGGCATACCTTGGAGAAAATGTGGGAACTGTTCCAGAGCCTGCAATTAAGTGAGTCAAATCAATTTTTTGGTTTCCTAGTATATATAAAAGTTATGTTTACACTATACTGTAGTCTATTAAGTGTGCAATCATTATGTCTTTAAAATGTACAGACTTTAATTTAAAAATACTTTATGGCTAAAACATGCTACCCATCATCTGAGCCTTTAGTAAGTTGTAAATTTTTTACTGGTAGAAGGTCTTGCCTCAGTGTTGCTGGCTGCTGACTGATCAGAGTGGTGAGTGCTGAAGGCTGGGGTTGCTGTGGCAATTCCTTTAAATAAGACAACAATAAACTTTGCCACATCAAATGATTCTTCCTTTCACAAATAATTTCTCTATAGCATGCAAGGCTCTTTGATAGCATTTGACCCGCAGTAGAACTTCTTTCAAAATTAGAGTCAATCCTCACAAATGCTACCACTGCTTTACCATGTACTAATCTAAATCCTTTCATTTTAAAAATCTTCACAGCACCTTTCTCCAGAGTAGATTCCATCTCCACAACCCACGTTCTTTGTTCATCTGTAAGAAGTGACTCCTTCTCCATTCAAGTTTCATGATGATACAGCAATTCACCCACATTTTCAGGCATCAGTTCTAATTCTAGCTCCCTTACTATTTCCCCTACACCTGCAGTTCCTTCTTCCACTGAAGTCTTGAACCTCTCAAAGCCATCCATGAAGAGTGGAATAAAATTCTTCCAAATTCCCTTAATGTTGCTATTTTTACCTCTTCCCATGAATCTCAAATGTTCTTGATGGCATCTAGAATGCTTAATCTTTTCCAGAAGGTTTTCAATGGACTTTGTCCAGATCCATCATAGGAAAACTATTACCACAATAGCTTATGAAATGTATTTCTTAAATAATAAGACTTGAAAGTCAAAATGACTCCTTCATCCATGGGACTCCTTCATCTGTCCTGTAGGACACATGTCATGTCAGCAGGCATGAAAACAACACTAATATTGTTGTATACCTGGATCAGAGCTCTTGGGTGCTCAGGTACATTGTCCATGAGCAACAATATTTTGAAAGTAATCTGTTTTCTGAGCAGTAGGTCTCCACAGTGGGCTTAAAACATTTAGTCAATCATCTTGTAAACAGATGGGCTGCCAACCAGGCTTTCTTTTTCCATTTATAGAGCACAGGCAGAGTAGAATTTGCATAATTCTTAAGGGCCCTAGGATTTTCTACATGATAAATGAGCATTGGCTTTAACCTCAAGTTAACAGCCACATTAGCTCCTACTAAGGAGTCATTCTCTCCTTTAAAGCTTTGAAGCCAGCCATTGACTTCTGCCCATTAGCTATATAAGTCTAGATGGCATTTTCCATTGTAAGGCTGTTTCATCTACCTTGAAAATGTGTTGTTTAGAGTAACCACCTTCATCTGAGCTAGATCTGGGTAACTTGCTACAGCTTCTACATCAGCACTTACTGCTTCACTTTGTACTTTTATGAGATGACTTCTTTCCTTAAACCTCATGAATCAACCTCTGCTAGCTTCAAATTTTTCTACTGTAACTTTCTCACCTCAGCTTTCATGGAATTGAAGAGAGTTGGGGCCTTCCTCTGGATTAGGCTCTGGTTTAAGGGAATATTGTGGCTGGTTTGATCTTCCTTCCAGACCACTCAAACTTTCTCCATATCAGCAAAAAGACTGCTTCACTTTATCATGTATGTATTCACTAGCGTAGCACTTTTAATTTCCTTCAAGAACTTCTTCGCATTCACAACTTGGCTAACTACTTTGCTTGAGAGTCCCACCTTTTGGCCTACCTTGGCTTTTGACATGCCTTCCTCATTGAGCTTAGTCATTTCTAACTTTTTATTTAAAGAGACACACAGTTCTTTCTTTCACTTGAATATTTCGAGGCCATTGTAGGGTTATTAATTGGTCTAATTTGAACAGTGTTTTGTCTCAGGAAGTAGGGAGGCCCAAGGAGAGAGAGAAGAGAGGACAGTGAAGTAGTCAGAACACACAGATTTATCAACTGTTTGCCATCCTATATGGGGATGTGGTTTGTGGTGCCCCAAAACAATTATAGCAGTAACATCAAAGATCACTGATCACAGATCATCATAACAAATACAAAAATTAAAAAATTCAAACTATTGTGAGAATTACCAACACGCAACACAGAGACACAAAGGGAGCAAATTTTATTGGAAAAATGGTACCCATAGACTTGTTCAGTGCAGAGTTTCCACAAACCTTCAATTTGTAAAAACTGCATTATCTATAAAGCACACTAAAACAAGGTATGTGCTTTTAATTTTTTTTTAAATATAAAGAGGGGTGATTTTAAAATATTTTTTCTCCTAAGTTTGTTGACATCACTTCTGGTTAATAAGGAAAGCAGCAGGTCCATTTCTGACAGCATATGACAATACCATGTGCATGTCAATCAACTGCTTTAGTGTATAAACCAGAGGTTTAATGGAAGAAGGTGTATTGTTTTACATTGTAAACCCCAGAAAAAATTATGTGGAGTAATAAGTCTATCTTATATCTAGCCATTAAATACCATATAATTTCTAGTGTATTGGAGTGCATCTGATTTATTAAATCAATCTATGGAGAAAAACTATTAATTCACTCATTCAAGCTTTATTGAAATATCCTAGGAAATGGCACTCTGGTATGAATTATACAAACAAAATGTTCTATTTGGTGGAGAAACTGTCCCTAACAAAAGCAGAAACAAATAATGCTTTTTTAAAAATACATGTACATATTTGATCTATGACTCATCATAAGTTTCTACGAAAAAAAAAAATGCTTGGGGATCTTCAGCAAGTTAATTTTAACTGAAAGACTTTTGTTTATATATTTTTCAAGTGCTCACTCCCACTGTGGAAAACTGGCATTGCCTGCTAAAGTTGAACATATGCTTACCCTGTGACCCAGCAATTCCTCCTCCCCTAAGTCTGCATGTATACATAGATCAAAATACATGTTAAGAGAAGCATTATTTGTAATTATCAAAATCATATTACTAAAGATAAAAGGTAAAGGTCAGGATTTATAGGTTTAATAACCATAGAACAAGCTATATATTTCAGGTAGAGGCCAGGTAAGATGCTTCTAGACCTCAGGTGGAGCCAGAAATAAAAGGTAAAAGAAAAGTTTTAGGCCCATGAAGTCCCTGTGGTGGGAAAATGTGGTCAAAACCGACCAGGAGAAGACAGAAGTTCTGCTAGTAGTGCGCTTGTGATGGGTGAACCTGAAAAGGGTTGAGATTTGTACCAGAGTCAACAAAGACATCCGCTGTGGTAAAAGGGGAGGAATTTAGGGCATATTAACTAGCACCATACTAGGGTCCCAGTCTAAGTACACCTCTTCCATAATGATCATAAAGTACTTGTAATTTCACAGGATATCCTGAATCACTAAGGAGTACTGCATTCCTCCACCCTCAGGCATAAACTTAAAAGATCCTTTCATTGAGAGAGACAAAACTATTAATTCACTCATTCAAGCTTTATTGAAATATCCTAGGAAATGGCACTCTGGTATGAATTATACAAACAAAATGTTCTATTTGGTGGAGAAATTGTCCCTAACAAAAGCAGAAACAAATAATGCTTTTTTAAAAATACATGTACATATTTGATCTATGACTCATCATAAGTTTCTACGAAAAAAAAAAATGCTTGGGGATCTTCAGCAAGTTAATTTTAACTGAAAGACTTTTGTTTATATATTTTTCAAGTGCTCACTCCCACTGTGGAAAACTGGCATTGCCTGCTAAAGTTGAACATATGCTTACCCTGTGACCCAGCAATTCCTCCTCCCCTAAGTCTGCATGTATACATAGATCAAAATACATGTTAAGAGAAGCATTATTTGTAATTATCAAAATCATATTACTAAAGATAAAAGGTAAAGGTCAGGATTTATAGGTTTAATAACCATAGAACAAGCTATATATTTCAGGTAGAGGCCAGGTAAGATGCTTCTAGACCTCAGGTGGAGCCAGAAATAAAAGGTAAAAGAAAAGTTTTAGGCCCATGAAGTCCCTGTGGTGGGAAAACGTGGTCAAAACCGACCAGGAGAAGACAGAAGTTCTGCTAGTAGTGCGCTTGTGATGGGTGAACCTGAAAAGGGTTGAGATTTGTACCAGAGTCAACAAAGACATCCGCTGTGGTAAAAGGGGAGGAATTTAGGGCATATTAACTAGCACCATACTAGGGTCCCAGTCTAAGTACACCTCTTCCATAATGATCATAAAGTACTTGTAATTTCACAGGATATCCTGAATCACTAAGGAGTACTGCATTCCTCCACCCTCAGGCATAAACTTAAAAGATCCTTTCATTGAGAGAGACATCAGATATTCTACTGCTACTTTTATAGTCTCTGACTACAATAGAAATTAAAGGACTCTGCATCTTAGAAATGAGATGTGTGTATTAATTTGGAAGAGACCACAAAATGTTGCTTTAACAGTCCCTGGTTTTCACAGCATTGTTGAAAATTAGTTGCTGTTCAGTCACTAAGTCGTGTCCAATTCTTTGCCACTCTGTGGGCTGCAGCACACCAGGCTTCTCTGTCCTCCACTATCTCCCAGAGCTTGCTCAAACTCATGTCGATTGAGTTGGTGATGCTATCTAACCATCTCAACCTCAAGCCCCTTTCTCCTTTTGCCTTCCATCTTTCCCAGCACCAGGGTCTTTCCCAATGAGTCAGCTCTTCGCATCAGGTGGCCAAGGTGTTGGATATTCAGCTTCAGCATCAGTTCTTCCAATGAATATTCAGGGTTGATTTCCTTTAGGATTGACTGGTTTGATCTCCTTGAAGTCTAAGAAGCTCTCAAGTCTTCTCCAGCCCCATAATTCAGAAGAATCAATTCTTCAGTGCTCAGCCTTCTTTATGCTCCAACTCTCACATCTGTACATGACTACTGGAAAAACCATAGCTTTGACTATATGGACCTTCGTTGACAAAGTGATGTCTGCTTTTCAATATGTTGTCTAGGTTTGTTTTAACTTTTCTTCAGGAGCAAGCGTCTTTTAGTTTCATGGCTGCAATCACTGTCCACAGTGATTCTGGAGCCCAAGAAAATAAAATCTGTCACTGCTTCCACTTTTTCCCCTTCTATTTGCCATCAAGTGATAGGACTGGATGCCATGATCTTAGCTTTTTGAATGCTGAGTTTCAAGCCAGCTTTTTCACTCTCCTCTTTCACCCTTATAAAGAGGTTCTTTAGTTCCTCTTCACTTTCTGCCATTAGAGCAGTATTGTCTGCATATCTGAGGTTGTTGATATTTTTCCTGGCAATCTTGATTCCAGCTTGTGATCTGGCATTTCATATGATGAACTCTGCATAGATATTACATAAGTAGGGTGACAATATACAGCCTTGTCATACTCCTTTCCCAATTTGGAATCAGTCAGTTGTTCCACCTCTGGTTCTAATTGTTGCTTCTTGACCTACATACAGGTTTCTCAGGAGACAGGTAAGGTAGTCTAGTACTCCCATCTCTGTAAGAATTTTCCACAGTTTGCTGTGAACCACACAGTCAAAGGCTTTCACACAGTCAATGAAGCAGAAATAGATGTTTTTCTGGAGAAATGCATATTAGCAATTTTATCTCCAGTTCCTCTGCCTTTTCTAAATTCAGCTGGTACATCTGGAAGTTCTCAGTTCACATACTGCTGAAGCTGAGCTTAAAGGATTTTGAGCATAACCTAGTGAGGATGTGAAATGAGCGCAACTGTACAGCAGTTTGAACATTCTTTGGCATTGCCCTTCTTTGTAATTGGAATGAAAACTGACTTTTCCAGTCCTGTGATCACTGATGAGTTTTCTAAATCTGCACGTATTGAATGCAGCACTTTAACAGCATCATCCTTTAGGATTTTAAATACCTCAGCTGGAATTCTATCACTTCTACTAGCATTACCAATCTTTTAAAAACTCATTCCTCTAATAAGTTCTCTCTCAGAAAGGTGGTTTGCTTCATCTCTCCAGCAATAGAGCTGTCAGTATCACAAAGATCCAGTTGTCATAGGCTTTTTTCTGCAGAACAAAATTTTGCCTTATAAGGTATTTTCATATTCTATAGTTTCCCTCTATTTTATCAAATTCACTGAATTTAAAATATTAAATTTTAATATTTCTGTTCCTCTGAACCTGACTGCTCCTTATCTTTCTTTTATGCTCAAATATTTCCAGCAAGAAATTCTGTCTGATCAATGAGTTCAGTTTTTGGCTTGAAGTTTTATATTTTCTAGGGATTTTGCACAGTCTACAATGATCAGGTATCCTGTTCCACCTCCCTTAAGTGCTCTTCCAATCATGCATAACTGATGTCTCATAATTCAGATAAAGTTGTAAATGGTTTCTCTCCTTAAACTAACGTTTAAATACCTTGGGTCCCGGCAGGGTCGGTCGAGGAGGGAAGAGCGTGTGTCTGTGCTGGAGAAAGAGGAAAATCTCCCTAGAGGTCTTGAAACCCCCAAGGAGTAGAGGCCCCAGCCGTGGAGCCCTGCAGTATACATGTGTTAACACCATGTCTGTGCCCCTGCTCACCAACGCTGCCACTGTGTCTGGTGCTGAGCAGGAAACAGCTGCAGTTATTTTTTTACATGGACTTGGAGACACAGGGCAGAGCTGGGCTGATGCCCTCTCCAGCATCCGGCTCCCTCACATCAAGTACATCTGTCCCCATGCACTCCTGGTTTGACCTGATGGGGCTGAATCCAGACACGCCAGAGGATGAGGCTGGCATCAAGAAAGCAGCAGAGAACATCAAGGCCTTGACTGAGCATGAAATGAAGAATGGGACCCCTGCCAACCAGATCGTCCTGGGAGGCTTTTCACAGCGTGGAGCTATGTCCCTCTACACAGCCCTCAGCTGCCCCCACCCTCTGGCTGGCACTGTGGCATTGAGCTGTTGGCTACCTCTGCATCAGGCCTTCCCCCAGGCAGCCAATGGCAGTGCCAAGGACCTGACCATCCTTCAGTGCCATGGAGAGCTGGACCCCATGGTTCCTGAACAGTTTGGGGCCCTGACAGCTGAGCAGCTCTGGTCCGTTGTCACACCTGCCAGGGTCCAGTTCAAGATGTACCCAGGTGTCATGCACAGCTCCTGTCCTCAGGAGATGGCAGCCGTGAAGGAGTTTCTCGAGAAGCTGCTGCCTCCTGTCTAACCAGAGTTGCTGTCCCCCAGCACAGTCCCCCTGCTAACAGGGGACTCAGCATGCATGGCACCATCTTGGATCTGAGCCAGTCGAGCCCCTTTCTCACCCTTCTGGACCCATCCTCTTCCCACAGGCCTCTGGGGCAGACAGGTCAAAGCCTGGCCAGGCCCTCGTTCCTGGCTTCAGCCCCTGCCTGTCTGCCGCAGGGGGTAGGCTGCTTTCTTATCCCATTTCCCTGGAGGTGGGGCCCTCCCTGCAACAGCAGTATTGGAGGGGCTGTAGGCAGCAGGAGAAAGGGGCCCAGCCGCTGACCCACTCACTCAGGACCTCACTCACTAGACCCTCTTTGGGCCCTCTCTGGTGACCTTAGGGTTTGGCCCATGGGGCCCTCCCAGGCCCCACCTCCTACCCTCTGCAACTGATTCTGCCCAGATAATTGTGTCTCTTGCCTCCACTCCAGCTGCTTCTCAATCAGGAATGTGTCCATGGCCCGACCTCTGACTGCTGTGGGCTCCCTGCCCTGCGCAGGAGTGTGGGAGAGACGGACAAGTCTTTCCAGGAAGCCTCCCCTCAGCAGTTCTGACGTGGAGGCTGGGCCCTGCCTCGCCATTACTCTCCGCTCCCATAGGCCTGGAGCCTGCAGGGCTGGACTGAGGCTCAAGGTCTCCCCCAGCTGCTCCACCCCATGTTGTTCCCACTCTAGATCTAGGGGAGCTGGGGAGAAGTCTTCTGTCTCCATGTAGTTTGGGGTGTTTCTCTCGTTGTGTCCTGGATTCCAATAAAATTAAAGAAATTGCTTCAACTCTCAAAAAAAAAAAAAAGACTTGGGTCTTTGTCATATTCATTCTCTGTTATGATAAGTTGTAAATTATGCCCACAGATTTCTCCGACGCATCTATGCAATGACCACTCTTGCTTCCATCAAGAGGTTATCGATTTCCCCACCCTTTGCATCTGGACTGTTATTGTAACTTGATTTAATCTGCAGAATGTGGCAAAAATGATGTCCTGTGACTTCCAAAACCAGACCTTAAGAGACATTGCAGCTTCTGCTTTCACCTTATTATGATGCTACCCCGAGGCCATCAAAAAAGGAAAGCCAGTCTAACCTTCTAGAGAATAATGGTCACATGGGAAAGAAACTAAGCTCCCAATGGACACCACCAGATGTCAGACATGTGAATGAAGCTACCTTGATCTTCCAGTCCAACCATCTTTCAGTTCAACCATCTTTCAGCTGAATGTTTCTGTACCAGTGAACTCAGGTAAAACCAGCAGATAAACTGTCAACCCATCCAGAGTATCATTTAAAAATAATAATAAATCATTGCTGCTTTAAGCTACTAACTTTTAGAGTTATTTATTATGTCACAATAGATAATTAATAATATATATTTTTTCTTCCACTTTCTTATCTTGGTGATCCTCTGCCCCTCCATTATTTAACTCAGAAAATACAATTTATTTTCTTTTTTTGGCTTCAGTTTCAGAACTGATCTGCACATGATTGATCTGTGCAAAACAATTACTCAAAACTTTAGCATCGTCACTTTTATGATCAAGAGATCCTTTCCTCTCTTTTGGAGACCTCTGATGTACTTTCAGTTTTTTCTGTTTTGCTCATTTCAATTTATTCTTCCTGTCACATGACAGAATACACTTAACTTTCTCCTTAAGTAGTTTTCCTTCATTAAGAGATATCTTATCTCCTCTAAAAGTAGCTTGTGCTTAGTCATATCTTTCTCCGTCACCCCAGGAACCGGAGCCCATCAGGCTCCTCTGTCCATGGGATTCCCCAGGCAAGAAAACTGGAGTGGGTTGCCATTTCCTTCTCCAGAGGATTTTCCCAACCCAGGCATTGAAACCACATCTCCTGTGTCTCTTGCATTGCAGGCAGATTCTTTACTGCTGAGCCACCATGGAAGTTCTCCTCTAAAAGGCAATAAAATTCTTCCTCGGCATTTTTCTATAAATTTAAAACTTTTATAAGATTTCTTTATATTTTTGTCTTAGTTTACACTATAACAAGCATATTGTTTACTGGATTTAGATTACTTGCTAAATGTTTCCTGATTTTATCTAGCCCCTTCGTCAGAGAGATTCATTCCTATTTTGTTGGCTGTCCTCTTCAAGTGAGTCTTTAGCTTGTGAGGCTATCAATGTTCCAGTATCTTTTCAGAAGCTACCCGAAGCTTAAGTGTATACCCAAAGAAGTAAGTGTATCCTTCTCAGCAATTCGTGTTTAGTTACTTGGTATATTCTGTTCCTTTTTGGAAATAGCACAGCATCCCAGGACACCCCCTATAAATTCTGCAGGTCATTGTCTAGTTTACTATAGCAGCACAGGTCCTGGTCTAGGTTCCCTAGGGCGCCTGTCTAAATCCTTCCAGAAAATAAAGGCCCTATTTCTAAGCTGTGATTTTTTTGGAGCAGTGGTTCTCAAAGTTTGTTCCAGGAACTGGCAAGGTTAAAATTGTCTTCATTATAATACAGAAATTTTATTGGCCTTTTCATTCACAATGGAGTTTTCTGAGGCTACAACTAGGAGTGATTTCATCACTACTCTGAAGGCTAATGGAAAGGCAACTATATTATTGTATTTCAATATTTTTGTTTTAAAACCTGATGTAATATCAATAAATGTCAGTGGGTAGACCCACAAAGACAATTTTCAAAAGTATTAAAGGGGTCGTAGGACCAAAACATTTAAGAACAGTATGAGAGAACATACCGTTAAGAAAGGCTGAATTTTCCTTAACTGTCAGTTCTTGGGATACTCCTTTGACAAGTCCCTCCTTGTGACACCCTTTCCTTCCTTAGGGCATTTGATCCAGCAGAAGGGTACCAAACTGCTGCTGCAACGGCTCCCAAACATTAATGTACAGAGGAAAATTCTACTTGAACCCACAATATTTCCACTGTTATACTGGCATAGGCCTATTTGTCAATGGCTTATGAGCTAATTCTTATTAAAGAAATACCACAGTTACAGAAGAGACTAACATTAGTTTACTTCCATTTTCCCACACCCCTCTTCATATTTGCCATATCTTTTGCCAAATATTCTCCATTTACCTGTTGCTTGGTAGAACTTAAACCCCTACTACTTTTTTAAGGAGGTCATGTGTGAACTAGATTCTGGGTTTTTCCAGGTTTGGAAATAAGTTTTTCCAAAGGCTGTCCATATGAGACTGCAGAAGTCAGCCTACCTCCTCACCCTGCCCTGTTCCACCCCTCCTCTTAGAGGTGACTTTTTTTTTTTTACATGATCAGACTTGGAAAGGATTTCACATCACTGAGTCTTTTAGCTACTAGTTCCACTCCTGCAATTAAAAAAAAAAAAAAAGCTGCAGATTCTATATAGAAGGCAGAAAATTTTCTATTTTCCTTTGTTCTAACTTCCTGTAATTTAACAACAGCAAACAAAAGAACAAACTAAAATAACCATGAAACTAAAGGTGCAAACTCCAGGTAATCCTTGTAGTTCAGTAACTCAGTGAATGGATATTCATTGAGTGCCACTTCACACCCTGAAATGTCAGAGATGCTGGTGATAGTTGTGTTCAAGGTAGGTATGGCTTTGCCTACATAAAGTGCCTCAGTGATGCCTCTGAGAAGGCTGGAGATCAGAGAGATTCATTCCTATTTTGTTGGCTGTCCTCTTCAAGTGAGTCTTTAGCTTGTGAGGCTATCAATGTTCCAGTATCTTTTCAGAAGCTACCCGAAGCTTAAGTGCATACCCAAAGAAGTAAGTGTATCCTTCTCAGCAATTCGTGTTTAGTTACTTGGTATATTCTGTTCCTTTTTGGAAATAGCACAGCATCCCAGGACACCCCCTATAAATTCTGCAGGTCATTGTCTAGTTTACTATAGCAGCACAGGTCCTGGTCTAGGTTCCCTAGGGCGCCTGTCTAAATCCTTCCAGAAAATAAAGGCCCTATTTCTAAGCTGTGATTTTTTTGGAGCAGTGGTTCTCAAAGTTTGTTCCAGGAACTGGCAAGGTTAAAATTGTTTTCATTATAATACAGAAATTTTATTGGCCTTTTCATTCACAATGGAGTTTTCTGAGGCTACAACTAGGAGTGATTTCATCACTACTCTGAAGGCTAATGGAAAGGCAACTATATTATTGTATTTCAATATTTTTGTTTTAAAACCTGATGTAATATCAATAAATGTCAGTGGGTAGACCCACAAAGACAATTTTCAAAAGTATTAAAGGGGTCGTAGGACCAAAACATTTAAGAACAGTATGAGAGAACATACCGTTAAGAAAGGCTGAATTTTCCTTAACTGTCAGTTCTTGGGATACTCCTTTGACAAGTCCCTCCTTGTGACACCCTTTCCTTCCTTAGGGCATTTGATCCAGCAGAAGGGTACCAAACTGCTGCTGCAACGGCTCCCAAACATTAATGTACAGAGGAAAATTCTACTTGAACCCACAATATTTCCACTGTTATACTGGCATAGGCCTATTTGTCAATGGCTTATGAGCTAATTCTTATTAAAGAAATACCACAGTTACAGAAGAGACTAACATTAGTTTACTTCCATTTTCCCACACCCCTCTTCATATTTGCCATATCTTTTGCCAAATATTCTCCATTTACCTGTTGCTTGGTAGAACTTAAACCCCTACTACTTTTTTAAGGAGGTCATGTGTGAACTAGATTCTGGGTTTTTCCAGGTTTGGAAATAAGTTTTTCCAAAGGCTGTCCATATGAGACTGCAGAAGTCAGCCTACCTCCTCACCCTGCCCTGTTCCACCCCTCCTCTTAGAGGTGACTTTTTTTTTTTTACATGATCAGACTTGGAAAGGATTTCACATCACTGAGTCTTTTAGCTACTAGTTCCACTCCTGCAATTAAAAAAAAAAAAAAAGCTGCAGATTCTATATAGAAGGCAGAAAATTTTCTATTTTCCTTTGTTCTAACTTCCTGTAATTTAACAACAGCAAACAAAAGAACAAAATAAAATAACCATGAAACTAAAGGTGCAAACTCCAGGTAATCCTTGTAGTTCAGTAACTCAGTGAATGGATATTCATTGAGTGCCACTTCACACCCTGAAATGTCAGAGATGCTGGTGATAGTTGTGTTCAAGGTAGGTATGGCTTTGCCTACATAAAGTGCCTCAGTGATGCCTCTGAGAAGGCTGGAGCCCCCGCTGATGACAAAAACCATTTCTGTTGACCTAATTTCATTAGCTATACTTAAGAGGATTAATTATCTAGCAGCTGTACTGTTTAGTCTTCTTGATCCTTTGTTATTTTTCATATTGGGGAATCTTTTGTCAGCACCATGCTTTCCACAAGAATATATTTTTATGAAATCTATATCTAACGTTTGATGCTATTTCAGCTTCATTTTCCTTTGTTTATACCTAGACTTTGCATAAATTATTGGAGAACATCACACAGGCTCAAAATGAGGGACATTCTATAAAACCAAATGGGGTTAATTGCCTCCTAAAGCAACAAAGACAAAATACTTCATAGGATTTAAATCAGTCTCACAATATTATATTCCCAATGCCTAGGATGCAATCTAAAATTACATCACAAATGATGACATGAAAATCTCAGTTTACACGGGAATAGACAATGAACACATGTCAAAACAGAGATCATACAGATGTTGAAATTGTCTGATAAAAAATCTAAAGCAGCTATTAATAAAAAAAACTCCAAGTAGAGGCAAATACTCTTGAAATGACTAGAAAGATAGAAACTCTTAGCAAAGAAATACAAGATATAAAGAAAACCCAAAGAGAAGTTTTAGGGTGGGGAAATTAGGAAGAGGGTGAGGCAACTGGTAAGATGTTGGTCAAAGGGCATAAATGGGCAGGTAGAAAATGGATAAATTCTGGGAACTGAATACACAGCATTGTGACTATAGTTAACAATACTGTATTATACACTTGAAAGTGTCTAAGAACTAGATCTTAGGTGTTCTCACCAGAAAAAAGAAATGAATATCATGTGGCATTATGGAGGTATTAGCTAATGGTACAATGGTAATCATATTGCAATATATAAGTGGATCAAATCTACACCTTAAACTAATACAATGTTATATATCAATTATAACTCAATGAAAAAAAAAGAAAAAAGTGAAGAGGACACTTTTAGATGCTCTTTTTATCAGGTTCTCTTGGGGAGCAGTTATTTCCCAGAGAACAATAGTCCAAATATTCAAACAAAAAGAATTGAACTGGAGAAAAAGGAACACAAAAAATAAAATTAAAAAAACAAAAAGAAACAAAAAAGAATTGTAATTTATCAAAAGGA